GACGTGTGCTCTTCCGATCTCTTTCTCCTGAACTCCGAAGAAAATCGGCTAGCAGTATGCCTCCGAGGTAATTAGACAAATAACTCCATATATGTACATGTATATATATAACAAATAATTCGGCCTTAATTCGATTTTAATATTGAAACAAACATTGTGATTCTTGCAGCGACAAGTCGGCGGATAGTAGCGATTTGGATTCAGTCCACTCGTTGCCGGTTACGTCGAACACCTCGAAGCACAATTTGTCCAAAGTCGCAATATCGTCGGGCGGCACTCCGCAGGCGAGTTACGCGGACATAGCGCGCATGGCTACTATCAACATGTCACACATGTCGCACAACCTGACCATGTCCGCCATACTAAACACGTCAACGTGGCCGAGTGTTCCGCCTAAGACCCTCTCGGAACCGGATAAAGTGCCTCAGGATTACTATCCGAGTCTAGACGAGCTGCAGCATCCGGACAGGAAAGCGAGGCAGCAGCAGGCTCAGTCGAACCATGCAGCAGCGAGTTTGGGTCTGGCTTTCGAAAAACCACTTTCGCCGACCCTGGCGAAGATGAAGAATTCGTCAGACCGAAAGAAAGCCGAAGCTCAGGAAGAGGCCATCAATAAGAACATCCAGGTGTTTAAATATGTGCAAGAAATCGAGAAGATGCACGAAAGCCTAACGCAAGCGAACACGGAAAACAAGGAGCAGAAGAGCGCGACTTGTAGTAATTACAGCCCAAATTCAAACGAGACTACCGCGACGAACGCCGTAACGCCAAGATATAATAATAATAGTACAACGATGAATTACAATCCAGTCGATATCGATAACAATCATAATTGCACCGTCAACAAGGATTCTGCTACGCTTCCACGAGCCAACAATCCTCGCTCTCGTAGGAATTACGTACACAGTAATCCAATTGTACAACCTCAGGGATCCCACGAAGAACAACACGTTAAAAAGCCCTCTTATCACGAGGAGGCAATTAAAAAATCGCATAGTATCGACATCCCGCAATCCGAGAGCAGGACTAATAACCCAACAATCGCGTTGCACGATGCAGACGCGCAGAAGTTGAAGACCACGAAACCTCCGCAGGACTCGCAGAGCGTCGAACCTGAATCCGGCAGTAAGACGACCAGTGGTGGCGATCCTCCGAGGACAGTTAGGGTTACGAAGGAGTATCAGAGCACCGCGATAAAGCACGATGCGACGAAAGTCGGAGTCTGCCAGCCGCAAGGCTCGAAGCAAGATAATCAGCAGCGCGACGACAGCGCGGAGAGCAAGAAGGCGAAGTCGCAGAACGCGCAGCCCGATAAAGACCAGTCGCACAGGTCGTCCGCGGAGGCGCAGCAGAAGAGTTCGACACCCAGACCCGCGGTGATCCTGCTGGACGAGACCTCCTCGGACATCGCGAAGAACAACAATCTGCCGACGGAGCTCACGTTCGGCTTCGAGATAAACGAGCTGCTGCTTTCGGAGGACAACGGCAACGAGGAAACCCCGACGATCGCGCCATCGAATCCCGTTTTTTCCCCGGCCGTACCGCCGCCGCTCGTCAACAAGCCGCCGCCCGGCAACAATTTCGAGAGGAATCCGCCGTTGTTCGCCGAGAAACCCGTGCGATACGACAAGTTCTCCTCGAATTATCACATGCAGCAGCCGAACGCTCATCCCGTGGCACCGGCGAACGCCCATCCCGTGCATCCGGTCATGGTGCAACCGTTGCCGTACATGAGCTATCCCGCCACCAGATTCGCGCCGCCCACATATCTGCCACCGCCGCCCCCGCCGCCGCCCGGGATCATGGAAAAGTTTCATCCGCCTAAGGAGGATTTCTCGATGCTTTACGTAGCGCCCGAGGAAGAGCTGAACGTGCAGACGTACAACCATGATAAGATCGTGTCGTTCGTTGGCTTAGGTAAGACACACCGTATAGTTTTTTTGTCATCTTTAACTCAAATGCTCTATTCTTGCCATCTTTACTC